CACACAAGCAAGTATCCAAGATATAAAAGTTTCACCAAAACCCATTTTCCTACAGACTTTCACAAGGAAAGACTATTCTACTCTGTCACAAGCCTTGGCCATGTCCAATTTAATGGCCATAAATTTCTGCTTACCTTTTCTTTTGCTGTTCAAGTAGTGACACATTCATTAGCTATTATAACATTGTCTAAAATTTGCCTACCAGGGAGAAAAGCTGACTGAGCACTTGAAATGCAGTTAGGCAGCACAGATTTCAACATATTAGCCATTATTTTAGCAATCAACTTATAAATCACACTGCACAAACTGAATGGCCTGAAATCTATTACTCTAGATGGATTCTTCTTCTTGGGAATAAGAGTAATGACATCATGATTTAGACCCTTAGGCATTCTACCAGAACTAAAAAAGTTATGCACAGCAAGGCAAACATGATGTTTCACAGTGGGCCAAGACTTTTGAAAAAAGCATGCAGTAAACCCATCCTCACTAGGGGCTTTGTCCTGGTCCATTTGAGAAAGAGCACTCTCAATTTCCTAGTTAGATTACTAATCAAGACATCATTCATATCATGAGTGATTTTTCTAGAAATACCTTCTAAGCTGCAATTGTTATCAATGGGATTTGAGGACTGAAAAAGACTCTCAAAATAATGCATGATTTCATTAAGAAGCTCCCCTTGATTCTGACATCTAGACCCATCAGCTTTAACAATGTTATCAAGAGAATTGGATTTTCTCCTTTGATTGACACAAGCATGAAAAAACCTAGAGTTCTTGTCCCCATCCTTAAGCCAAGTTATCCTAGATTTCTGCCTCCAAAAAAGCTCTTCACTCTCATAGGCTAGCTGGGATTCCATCTTACACCTATGCCACTCCCCCCAATCTCTATCCCCACCTAAGACTTTGAGACTCTCCAGCTTCACCTTGCATTCATCTATCTTAATTCTGGCATTACTCACAAAACCCTTCTTCCACTTAAGGATAGCTTTTCTAACATTCTTCAATCTCTGTTGAATGCTAAATAAAGCATATCCAGACACATTGGAATTCCAAGCATCAACAACACTATCACTGAAGCCTTCAGATTTGAGCCACCTGGCATCAAAAACAAATTTGTTTTTACTCCCCTCACAGCTAGGATTACTATCAGATAACATGATGGAATGATCTGAAGAGGCAACATGAATAATTTTAGTCTGGGAGTTTGGGAACAGACCAAGCCAATTTTGAGAAAATAGAAACCTATCTAGTTTCTCCTCAATGGCTTGATCCCCTTTTCTATTATTGGTCCAGGTAAAGGGATGCCCAACAACTTTAGCCTCACTGACCCCCAAACAAGAAAGCAAATTTCTAAACTCCAAAAAACTACCCTCGTCCCTCCTAATGCCTCCTAATTTCTCCGAGTGATCAGCAATATCATTGAAATAACCACAAATAAACTAAGAGGCCCCCCAATATAAGCTATGTCTGATAATACACTCCCATTGAGTACTTCTAATCTCCCTGATAGCACTAGCATAAACAAATATGCCCCCAAAAAACATCAGAGTTACCAGAAAGGGAGAATTTGACTTCTAGACCAAAATCAGAGGGAATATTATCAAGTACATTGATCCTATCAGACCAATACAAAAACAACCCCCCTTTATAACCCACAGGTTTAACATAATACCAACTATCTACAAGCTTAAGCTTTCTACAAACAGATTCAACAATTTCTTCTTTTTTTTTTATTTTTTTATTTTTTTATTTTTTTGTTTCAGATAGAAACACAAAATCAGGGAGATGAATTCTAATACAATCCTTAAGATGGAAAATTGTAGAGGGTCCTCCCAATCTTCTACAATTCCACACCAGAGCCTACATTGGAAACTCTGGGACCAGTTATGGCTGGTTGCCTCCACTACAGCATGAGTTGGTTTTGCACCAATTTTAAGTTTTTTGGACACAAGATGAACCTTTTCAGCATCATCATCTTTTTTAGACAACACCTCATTGGTTCTCTTATCATTCCCCTTTCCCTGCCCATTGTTACTGACCTCAATCTCATCAACGTGCATTTTTTCCAGTAACAGCATTTCTATTAATATTCACTTCCTTAGGAGCAGCAGTTTTTTTCTTATGAACAATTCTTGTGCCAATGGCAGAAGCTTGCACATTCACCTCCACAAGATTAGATTCAATGTGAACCACAGGCTCCTAGGGAAGAGTATTGATTTTTTGGCTCAAAGGTTCAGTAACCACAATGCCCTTATATATGGCAGGGCTATCTGGTTCCTCTACTTCTAAAGTCAACCCATTCGTTATCCTTCCCCATTTTAATGAATGTGCCTCTCAGAATTGGGTCTGAGAGTGGGAGTTCAACAAGAATCTTCAGATTTTTCCCATGATAGTTACCTATACCAGGGACTTGAACATCTAGAGTTTTACCCCGGTTTCAGCTAGCCAATGGAGAGGCAAATTTAGAACTTGAACCCAAATTTTAATTTTCTCATCATCCTCATTGAACTCATTGTTCTCAGATTTCCATGGCTTCAGAAGGAGATACTGGCCATCAAAGTTCCAGGTTTTACCATCTAAAATTCTATCTCTGTCCTGTTCATATTGGAAGAGAAATTGGAATTTATTGTTACCCAGATTCCTAATAGAGAAAGGCTTGTCAGTAGTCCAAATACTACTAATGGTAGTTTTGAGACCACTAAAATTGAACTTTTTCTCTCCATAAATCTTCCCTATTAGACTCAGACTACAGTCCTGAATACCAATGGCAATATCATCTACCGAAAGAACTAATCCCCCTTCTTCCTTGTCAGATAATTTAAACCTTTGCAGCTTAGAAGTGATATCTTGATCCATCACACCCTAATATTTCAAACCAAACACAACAAAATCAAAGAAAACACATAGAAGCACATCAACGATAACCCCTAGGTAAGCAGCACATAAATCCCTAAAAACTCTTAACATTTAAAACCCTTCAAGCTAGAGGTGGCCACGGGCCGAACCGGCCCGCGACCCGGACCGGAAACCGGCACCGAACCGGCCCGTAACCGGCCACCTAAGGGCCGGTTCGTTTAACCGGACCGTGAGGGCCGCGGTTCGGTCCCGGGCTGCTCCATTTTTTTTTTGGTCCTGGCGGTTCGGGCCGGGCCGGGACCGGGTCACGGGCTGAAGGCCGGGCTCAAGTGTTTTTTTTATTTATTTTTTATTTTTTTCCATGCGGGCCGGGTCCACCGGCCCTAAGCAATTGGCGGTCCGGTCCCGGGCCAGGGTGTGGAGGACCGGCGGCCCGCCGGGCCGGGCCTGGACCCGTTGAATGGCCATGTCTGCTTCAAGCAATACAAGTTACAGCTCAAATAAGTTTCAATAAAATTTCACACATCTAGCATAACTGCCAAGAACCAACATAACAAGACAAAAAGGGAAAGCAAAGAACCTGAACGAAGCAGAAGCAGCTAATAACAGAAAGATGGACAAAGACGAAAAAAAAAAAGATCGAAAAGAGGTAACTCAGGTACACAAATCCTAAAGCGGAACTCGGTCTCTAGAAAGAGAAAAACCCTAGATAGAGGGACTCACTACACATTGTAAATTTATTATCTTATTATATTGTCATTACATCGAAACTTCCTCAAATGGAATTCCAAAAACTCTATTAAGAGCAGGGAGAATCAATCAAATCATGATGATATTGAGTGAGCCATTGTGATATGATCTGCCTTTCTTCTTTTCTCACATCTCGAAGCCAGTTTGGATCTTCACTTGTTGAGAATCTAAGATCCACGTGATGTGCACCTATAATTTTTAAAAAACATTATATGCTTTCAAAGTAGTAAATAAAAATAAATAACAAAATTAATTAGCAGGTTCAAAAAAGAAAAATTATATTTAGTAGACACTAGTTTGTGTTTGTAGTGGTACTAAAAAATCTACTTTTCTTAGGAAATATATTGCATGTAAAAGTTGTGATTTATAAAACTAAATCTTAAATGAGTGTGTGGTTAAATGATAAAAATGCTACTACAACAAAATGTCAATTCACCTTTTGGAATTGAGCTAATAACTAAAAAGTGCACAAACAAATATGTAGTAGAAATTTGACTCCCATAGGTGAAAAATTAACCTTGGTTTGAAAGCATGGCAATATATTTTAACACAATTATTGTTTGATACCGCCTTAAAAAATAGGTGGTTTTCAATTTTTCATAATTTGTTTACATAAAAACACTTTTATATTCTAAATACCATATTTTTTATTTGTAGTTATATATATATATATATATATATATATATATATATATATATATAAGTCTGTTAGACAGACCTAATGACATAAATAGTCATACTTTTTCATGTGATATGCATAATTCAAAATTAGATGTAAGTACTCTTGAAATTATCATAAATAAAAAGTACCGCATTTTACAATATAGGTATGCATTTTCGCTAAGAAAATATGACGGGTCAAATGTTTATATTAACTGCCTCACACAAAAGTAGGTGATATCAAAAAAAATTCTTAATCTAACATCCCTATATATAAATGCAGAGTTTCTCATACGTACATGTCAACTTTTGGTGCTTCGTATGTATCGAATTCTATTTCTTTATATACATTTAGACATGTATGTGTCTATTTGGACTTTACAATTATAAAATACTCGATCAACTTAAATTATAAATTTATTTTAAAGGTAATAACTTTCGCATTTTAATCAAATTTCTCTTTTAACGAGCTTCAATTTGACATCCATATTGCGTATATAAATAAATATATATTTATACAACAACAACAACATACCCAGTATATTCCCAACAGGTTGGGGTCTGGGGGGTCAGTTGTACGCAGACCTTACCCTTGTAATTATACAAGGAGGCTGTTTCCGTAGCGACCCAAGGTGCATTGCGCCGTTTGATATTTTTTTTTTCTAGAAACTTCACTAATAGAAGCACTAGAATTTAATTGAGCCATTTTGATCTAGTCCATTATTAGCACTATGTCAGAAGAATTGTCAACAATGACTCTTCCAGCTCCATTTGCAATGGACAAATAAATAAATAAATAAATATTTATCTTTATAATAAAATTAAATTATATATCAATATTAATTAATAATAACTAAAATATTTATCTATTAAATCATTATATAATATGCTTGGAAAAAACATTATAATAGTATCAATTGATGAGTGTCATTTCAAATATAAATAATAATATAAGTTTTTAAGAATGATATATTTAAAATGTCAAATAAAAATTTACATTATGTATATTTTTATAAATTTAGTTATAAATTTTTTATTAGTACTTGTGTAATACACGGATGTTAGTACCCCTAGTCCTATTATTAACCGTAAGATCAAAATAAATACAATTTATGTCGCTTACCTTTTTCCGCAACAAGTGCAACTATACTTTCTGATATATTTTTTAGCACCCTGCCATTAAATAAGAAAGATCAAATCATATTTAATGCATGATTTTAATATTTGAAATGACACTCATCATTTAATTTATTTCAACAGACTTTTTTGGAAAACCAATTGCACAATGTCATTAAATAAGCTCGAGCTTTTCTTGTTTTACTAAATATTCATGCGTATTTAAAATACTTTCAAGATTATAGCTTCATCACAAGACTGGAGATATGTTGATTAGGCACATTATGTGAGAGCTTATTTATTTGTAATTGTCTTATACTTTTGGGTAGAAAGTTTCAAAATGTCATACCTGCCATGACCATCCATCGATCTCGGATGGACCTGAATCATTGGACAGTTCAAAACACGTGGCTTGACCAGTGTAGTTGTAGAAGATGTTAGCCGCATGATATAATTTCTCGAATGTGTTCCCGGTCTTTACATCATCGATTGCTTTGCACATCTGCATTTCCATAATAAGTGAGCTCCTAATTTCCACACTAATAAAATCAGTTCAATTATAAATAGGAATATTGACTGTGGTCGCTAAACCGAACTAAATAATGAAAACGAATCGAGTTTGTGTAAACTATATGACACCAAAAACTTAGATAGAACATTAAATTTTCTATCCCGGTTGTTTTGGTTATCGATTATTATCGTTCATATTATGTATCCATCTTATGGTTTGACTAAAACGAAAGATGTTGCAGATTTTACGATCACGAATCTGGATTTCAGAGAGTTGTGTGTACCTGCTTGACTGGATATGCAGGCAAGGGAGTGATGAAATTGCTAGAAGTTGGATAATCTGTCATGGCTGTATAAATGAAAGCTGTACTTAGCCAATCTTCTAGAGACTCTGCACTTATATAATTCCTATGAAACCAGTAATAAAAAGATTAATTAGCCTAATACACTAGAAGAAAATGAAATAAACAAGAATATTATATATGCTACTCCACTAATAAATTTTATCTTTCAACAACAATGCCCTGAAAATAAGCATTTCGAAGATATATAGTTTTTCTTCTTTTTATCTTACTTGCATATTCTGAATGACTCTCTGAGAATTTCTAGTCCTCTGGGTTTCGCTGCGGTTTCTTTGATTTCGTGCCACGATCTTTTTATCACTTGGTAACAATTCTCACTCTCACTCTAAATTTATGTGGTCAGACAAAAATTAGAAAAAAAAGGTTAATATAATTAACAATCCATCAATCTATTTCATTGACTCTTGACTATATATATATAAAAAAAAAAAAGATCATCAATATAGTTATTTGAGTCCATTCAAAGTCTTGACTATACAATTATTGAGGCAATATATGCATACATATACCCTTTTTTTTTTCCAGTCTCTGGACCAATAGCAAGCTAGTCATCCTATCATTTGATTAACCACACATTAACTACATTAATTTTTAACTACATAAGCATGAAACAATTTCCATGTTAGGACAAGGCACAATATAATATCTTAAGATGCATCACAATTAAATTACAGATAACACATAATTTAAGTCAGCCAACAATATTTTAACTGCAAAATTAGGACAGAAACAGAGTCATGATCTCACTTTACAGCAGAAAAAAGTTAATATATTTGTTGGAAAACTAAAATCAGATCTCATGAAGGCAAAGGTCATAACTTCATTGTAAAACAACAAAAATGAACTATAGTACTGAATAAATAAATCAAAATGAAAAGGACCGACCCGAAAATCTTTGGTGATGATATCGCTGTAACTATACGGCGAAGTAACGTTGTCGAAATTTAGAATAGGAGCTGAGGATGCTAAAGCCCCTATAGCCACGTGAGGATACTTCAATCTGAACCATGCAGCCAGCACTGCACAAACAAGGTACAATCGGGTTGAAGCGCGATTTCAACTTCTTTAAAGAAAAAAACGCTAAATTAATCAGAATGTACAACTTTTTTCTACGTACTTCCGCCATAAGAACCTCCGAAGACTACAACAGGACACTTTTCGGCCGTCAGATTCTTCTTAAGATCGAGAATCAAGGTCGCGTAATCCGCAAGCGCCTGAGTCGAGCTCAAGTAACCGAGCGTCGTGGAATTCGAATACGCTGTCTCTTCACTCCCCCCGTAAGGCATTGACTCCCCGTAATACCTATGCTGAAGCACGGTTCGTATGTAGAACTATTAACATTTCATCCACATAAATACTAAAAAATGCGAAATAAAAAAAAAGAAAAGAAAGAAAGATAGAAATTACCTCGATGAAAACTAGCATTGCTTTGAAAGTGGGTGCAATTTCGAACATGAAGCCGGTGTTTTGTGCGAACCATTCGATTTCTCCCTCATTTCCTGTGTAGACAAATATCGGGAAATTTCCTTTGGGGCCACCCCAGAAAGTGTCGTTGATTAAGTACCTCTGTTGGAATGTTGAGTAGCTGTTTGGATTGAAGTTGAAGTGATCAAGAATTTGTGTGTAGAACTTCTCTTCATATAGCCTAACAAAAGCTTTTGAATTAAGAGAGGATTGTGCTTGCTCTCGCTGAATGAACGAAAAAGGGAAGCCAATTGGTTTGGTCTTTTTTGTGTTGATAGCATGTGTTGAGAATGATTCAGGATAAATTGAACCAGACAATATAAGCACTAACATTAGCCAAATTGCCATGTTTGAGAGAGAGAGAGAGAGATGTTGGCCAAAAGGCTGTATAAATTAAATTGAATGAATTTTGTCCGTTATTTATAGGAAAGATTCACAAGTTGATAAAAGAACTATATAGCCAAGATAGGGTGAGATGGTTTTTATTACAACTAATCTCTATGATTTCTATAATAGAAAATATGTCCACTATATAGAAGATTACAAAGATTTTTTTAACATTCTAAAAATTCTGGTCTATCTAATTTTAACTTTTCAAAACTATAAAAAAATCTAAAGAATTCATTTGATTTTTATTTTTAAGTTNGAGTTCATTGCCTAAAGATTTTTTTAGATTCTAAAAATTTTGGTCTATCTAATTTTAACTTTTCAAAACTATAAAAAAATCTAAAGCATTCATTTGTCATTTTTTTCAAGTTGACAAAAATAATGTGAATTCATTGACTAAAGATTTTTTAGATTCTAAAAATTTTGGTCTATCTAATTTTAACTTTTCAAAATTATTAAAAACTCTAAAGCATTCATTTGACATTGAAAGTCTGGAGATATTCGTTTTGGTCTATCTGATTTTAACTTTTCAAAACTATTAAAAATTTTGAAGCGATCATTTGACATTAAAAGTCTGGAGATACTCGTTTCTAAAGTTGAAAAAAAATATTAGAATTAAATTTATTTATTATTAATATTTATTTAAACTTTTTAAAATTTACTAAGATTCAAAGACGAAATACATTTACAAAATCCTACCCTAAATTTCATCTATATACTTAATATTTTCTAAATATTTTAGTGATGCCATTAAAAGTCTTAGAATGTACATGTAATTAGAGCATTTCTAATGTGACAATTTATAGAGAAAACAATATTTGCGATCTCATAATATTAGACATCGTGGTTATATTTACTACTCTAGTGAGGGTATTCTTGAGCTGCTATGATAGTACGACATGACAAGACTATCGCTGAACTCA